GTGGCATGGTGCAGAGTCCTGTTGCCAGACATAGGGTGTTCCAATAGCCACCCTCCTGACCCAGGAAAGCACTACCTCCTCAAGGCATTTAATGTAGGCCTCCGTGTTGAGTCTGAGGCCGTGTGGGAAGATGAATGGAGATATTCTCGTCCCATCACTAGTGATCACTCCAAACACCTTCATAATCACCATTAGACTCATCCAACTCTTTCCAAATCCTCTGCACTGTCCTCAGATTGACACCCAAACACTCTGAAATGTTCGTATTCGAGCTTCCAGCATGAATGCCAAGCAGTACAACATGCCGTTTCCAAATTTCTGGCAGAGTGAATTGCGTCATGGTGCTCTTTTTTTTCTCACAGATGGTGCCCAACTGACCCTACTATACTGTGCAGTCGACAAAATCAAAAAAAAAAAAGCAAATGCACGAAATTAAAAAAATAAAAATGGCGACAATTTACCCATCGCATTGTATATATATATATATATATATATATATATATATATATATATATATATATATATATATATATATATATTTTATTTAATTAAAATTTTTATTAAAAAATTTTAATTAATTTTTTTTAAATTTACATCTTAAAGTAAATTTATTTTTTTTATATAAAAAACATATATAAATTTAATATTAAATAAATCTTTTAAATAAAAATTTTTATAAAAATGTAAAATTTTATTTTTTATTAAATAAATTTTATTTATATTTTTAGATAATTTTCAAGAATAATGGAAAATCACTTTTTAAATTAAAAATAGTTTTTTTAATGTATTTTTTCATAAAATGATTTTTTTTATGTTTTGAAAAAACTTTAAAAAAACAAATTATGATCCAAATTAAATATCAAATTTTCAAAATTAAAAAAAATAATTTGTTTTTTATTTCATTTATAAAATTTATTCCCGAAAAATTTTAATTATTTTTCAAATGAAAATTTGTTATAAAAAACATTATAAAAAAAAAAAATTTAAAACAAATAATTTTGTATCGCAAATTTCAATTTTTATATAATATATTATATAAATATATATATATAAATATATATATATATATATATATATATATATATATATATATATATTTTATATTTATATAAATAAATATTATAATGAAAAATATAATAAAATCCTTATATATAAAATATATATATTTTTTTTATTGATATATTCCTTTTGCTGAAAATTGATATTTAATTCAAGTAAAAAATTTTTTTTTTAAATTTTATATGTATGAATATTTTATATATATTTTAATATATGTATTAATTTTTTTTTAAATATTTTTACACAAATCTTTTTCTATATATATATATTTATATATATATATATATTATATTATATATATGAAAATTTATATAGTTTTTTTGGTTAATTAATATTAAAATTTAAATCTTTTTTCTATATATTCAAAATGATAAAAAATTTTCATCTTTTTTGAAATTTAAATAGCTTTTTAAAACAAATAAATTTTATCTGTTCTTAATGTATTTTTATTTTTATTGAAGTATTTTTTTTCATAATTTATCATTTATTGAAAATATAAACAATATTTTTTCAAATAATAACAATAATATGTGTTTTAGGAATATTCACAAAAACGAATATGAAACTTATATAAATATAAATTGTTAAAGAAAACGGTTATTTTTTTTCTAACATGTTTTATAAATTTTCATTATTAAAGATTCACCAGAGAAATAGACAGAATATTTAAAAATTATTTTTTTTCATTTTATTTGCTATATATAATTTAAATTATATATATTTATTTTTTTTTTTATCTATATTTGGATTTTTTTTTTTTTTTGTTTTTATAGTTGTATAAAAATATATAAAGTAGTAATATTAAATAAAAATTATTTATATTTGGAATTTAAATAATTTTGAATTTATTTGATGTTTTTTATTTTAAAAAAATATAATATTATATTAATCAAATATGAGTTAAAAAAAAATAATTGATTTTAATATATTTTTTTTTGTATTTAGTGAATATTTAAATATTATGGTAAAATTTTATCATTTTTCTGCAATTTTTTATTTTCAATCAACATTTTAAAATTATATTCTTTTTTTTAAAAAATTTAAATAAATTTATAAAATCTATTAATTTAGATAAAATCTTCTTTTTTAAAAATATTTTTGCGAGTTTTAAAATTTAAAAAATTGTTCCAAACATTCAAAATTTCATTTTTATTTTATATATATATATATATTTATATATATATATATATATATTGTTTCATTTAAAAAAAAAATTACAATTTACTGTCAGTTAAAAATTTTATTTAATTTTTTCTTTTTTTCAAACAAGAGCTTTCTTTTATTTTATTTCAAATGGCTTTTTTTTTTTCAATGTTTTATTTTTTTTTTTGATAAAAAAAACTTTTGGAAATCTCAATACAAGAAAATTGTTTTAAAAAATTGCATAAACGAAGGATTTTCAGGATTAAATATTTATATATATATATATATATATATATATATATGTATATATATATATATAAAATATTGAATTTATTTAATGATTCATTTTTTAAATTTATTTTTAAAAAATTTTTTGAATTTTTTTTTATCATATATAATATATATATATATATATATATATATAAAATATATATATAAATGTTATTTTTCCAAATTTATCTTTAAAGAATTTAAAGATCAACCATGAACATTTAATTTTAACAAATTTTCTGTATTTAATTTTTAAATTGAAAAATTTATTTTTTTTGTTGTTGCAATTTTATGAAATTTATATTTTTTTTTTTTTTTAAAAATTTTTTTAAAAATTTTTTTATTTCTATTTTGGTTTATAATAAATTTAGATTTTTTATATATTGTTAAACAAATTTAAGATAAATCCAAGAATGTATAATTTAAAATTATATTTTTTTAGATAATTTTTGGATTCAAAAATATTTTTTTTATTCTTTTTAATTTTTTTTTCAAGAAAATTTTTCAACGAACAAAATAAATAAAATAATTTTTTTTTTTTTTTTGAATCCTTTGTATTTGATTCAATTTTTTTAAAAATGATATTTTATTTTTTAATTTTTAAAAAAAAAACAAAATTTGGCTTTCATCAAAAATTAAAAAAAAATTTTAAGATATTTTTAAAATTTAACCGGTTTTTTTTGCTTAAAACTTTTTAAGAATTTTATTGTTGGTTCCAACTGTTATTCTTACATTTTTGATTTATTTTTTTTAGTATAAGAACAACGAAATTGTATTTAGAAAAAAATTTTTAAATGATAATATATTAAATTAAAATTGTATTTATTTATATATATATAAATATTTACATATATATATATATATATATATATATATATATATATATATATATATATATATATTTATATATATTTTCATTATGCATTCATTCATTAATATAGACAAGTTTTGTCTATTTATTTTAAGTAAGTTCCTTTCATATTGTCTGATAAGCTTAATAACATTATCATTGAAAGACGAAAGAAAATCACCATATTGATACATGTTTTAAATCCAATCTAACCTTTCGGCTTACATAAGCCATTATCAAAGATGACAATTACATTTCAATATATCAAACAATACACGGACGAAACAATAATGATAGTCTGTTTTTTGCATGCTGAAAAAATTTCAAAAAAACGACAAACACGTGTATACGAGACGCGGAAGTGAAAATCGCGTCGCAGCTCGTGACCTCATTTTGACCACGCGAGAGTGAAAACGAGAATATTAAATAAAGCCGTTGGTATAAACCAATGGCTTCTGTTATCAATTATATAATTTTTATTTTTGTGGAGATTTCGTAGTTTATTTTGTTCAGGTTAGGTTTTCAACTGTTTTATGTATATAGCTTCAAGAATTTTTTTAGTTTTTGTTTATTGTTTTCATGTTTTTAGTATATATATATATATATATATATATATATATATATAGATAAAAAATTGGCAAAATTTTCTATTTTTTATCAAGGCAAAAATGAAAATGTTTTTTTTAATAAAATTTATTTAATGTATTTAATCCTTTCATACATATATATTGTATTATAGATTTTAAAAAATGAAATTCTGATTATTAATCTTTATTAATAAATTAACGACTTCCGGAAAATTTCAAAATAAAAATAATTTGAGACGTAATGTAACACTGGTATATTTAAAGTTTCTATAACGCCGAATTTTAAGACAATTAAAAAAAAGAAAACAACCAACCATAAATTTTGAAAAAAAAAAATATTGTTTCATATTTTAAAATATTTGATAAAAAAAATGAAAATTTTTTACAGTTCTAAGAAGAAAGAGAAAGACAAAAAGCAGACTGGAGAAAATAGCAAGATATTTATATTTTAAAATGTAAAATTTTTTTTAAAAAAAAGAGGCAAAAATGATTTAAACTTTTGTTTAAAAAAAAAGAAAATGTGGTAAAAAAATAAAATAAAATAAAACAAAAATGGCAAACAAAAAAATAATCTTTTTTTTTTTTATTATTCATAAATGAATAAAAGAAATGGGAATTAAAAAAAAAATATCCCGGGGTGGTTGGGTGGTTAAAATTTTTTTTTTTCTTTTCTGAAAATTTTATTGAATAATATTTGTAACAATCAGATAGAGGTATGAAGATGAATCACTTCAGAGAAAAGACAAAAGAATGGATAAAAAATGGCAAAAAAACAAGGCGTTTATTTTTTTCATGAGTTTGTTTGGCAATAATTGGCACCAAAATTGGGAAAAAAAAGATGTTCGGTGGTAGAAAATTTGAATTGTGCGTTTGGTAGTGTTTTAATTGAAATATGTAAAAAGAGTAGAGTTTCTGAAAAAAGAAAGAACGAATGAATAAGCACGTGAGCATTTTCAAAGAGAACTCCAAAGAACGAGGGCACTGAATAGGATAAGAAAAAAATGAAAAAAGAGTCAAACAAGGAATAGGATTACCAAGAGAGAATTATAGTGAGATAGAAAGTTTCTACGAATATATCAGGGAAATCTTATTCAGAGATAGAAAGAGAGAGACTGACAAACAGACAGACAAAAGAGGTTAGAAAAAGATAAACATAAGATAAATAAATAATACATTAAAAAAGAAGAAAAAAAAGAAAAACTAAAAAGAGAAAAAATTGTAACAAGAAATTTCTTCCGATATAGAAAGAAAGAAAGAAAAGAAAAAAAAGGAAGGAAAAAAAGAATTAGTTCTTAATTAATATATATGAAGAAACTAAGATAGAGGAAGAAAGAAAAAATTAGGAAGGCAAGATAGATAGATAGATAGATAGATAGATAGATAGATAGATATGAACAGACTGAGATAGATAAAAGAGAAAACCTAGAAAATTAAAGAGTTTCAAACTGAGAGAGTGAAACTATTGATAGATATTAAAAAAACGACGATGGAGAGAGTTTAAGCGCGTAATAGAATGTCATTGAAAATGGAGACGGCAGACAAATAGAAAATGAAGACAACGATAAGGCAAGAAAGAAAGAAAGCAAGAAAGCTTCTAATAGGTAGAAGAAAGAAAGAAAGAAAGAAAGAAAGAAAGAAAGAAAAAAAAAAAGAAAATAAGAAAAAAGAAAAGAATGCTATTGATAGGTAGAAGAAGAAAGAAATTTTAAAGAAAAAAAAAAAGAAAGCTATTGATAGAAAAAGAAAGAAAAGAAGAAAAAGAAAGAATTGATAGGTAGAAGAAAGAAAGAAAGAAACTTTTAGAACTGAAAAAAAAAAAGAAAATGCAAGAAAGAAAGAAAAAAAAAAAAGAAAAATGCATTGAAAGAAAGAAAAAAGAAAAGAAGATTTTTTTTAAGAAAATAAAAGAAAGAAAAAGAATGCTATTGATAGGTAGAAGAAAGAAAGAAAAGAAAGAAAGAAAGAAAGCTACTGATAGAAGAAAAAAAGAAAATAGGAAAGAAAGAAAAAAAGAAAGAATGCTATTGATAGGTAGAAGAAAGAAAGAAAGAAAGAAAGAAAGAAAGAAAGAAAATTAAAGAAAGAAAAATAAGAAAGAAAGAAAAATAAGAAAGAAATTTAAAAAAAGAAAAGAAAGAAAGGTAGAAGAAAAAAGAAAAAAGAAAGCTACTGATAGAAGAAAGAAATTTGAAAAAAGAAAGAAAAAAAAAATACTATTGATAGGTAGAAGAAAGAAAGAAAGAAAAAAAAAAGAAAGAAAGAAATTAAAGCTTTTGAAGAAAGAAAGAAAAGAAGAAAAAAGAAAGAAAGCTATTGATAGGTAGAAGAAAGAAAGAAAGAAAGAAAGAAAGAAAGAAAGAAACTGAAAAAAGAAAGAAAGAAAGAAAGAAAGAAAAAACTGAAAAGAAAGAAAATCAAAGAAGAAAAAAAAAGAAAACAGAAAGGTAAAGAAAGAAAGAAAAAAGAAAGAAAGCTACTGATAGGTAGAAAAAAGAAAGAAAGAAAGAAAGAAAGAAAGAAAGAAAGGAAGAAAGAAAGCTACTGATAGAAGAAAGAAAGAAAGAAAAATAAATCCATCAGAAAATAAAAAGAAAGAAAAGAAAGATATATATTTCAAGAACAAGAAAAGAAAAAAGAAAATAAAGAAAGAAAAAGAAAGAAAGAAAGAAAGAAAGAAGGGGGAAAAAAAAAGAAAGAAAGAAAGAAAAAAAGAAAAAAAGCTACTTTTAGAAAAAAGAAAAATAGTTTCCAAAAAAGAAAGAATGCTATTGATAATTAGAATGTAGAAAAAAGAAAGAAAGAAAGAAAGAAGGGAAAAAACTTATTGATAGATAAAATAAGAAGGAAACAAACAAACAATGATAGAAAGTTTAGTGACGATGCCGATAATAGATAAAGAAAGCAAGAAAAACGGAAGATTCTCTCCAAGAAGAATGACGGAGAGAAATAATAAAGATTGAATGGAAAAGCCTATCAAACGAAGTCTTGTGTTCGAAGAAACAGGAAGAATGAGGAATCTTGGAGTGTGGGTGGCGGTGAGAAAACCTAGAAATCATCTGGGAGAATCAAGACAATAAGCGTCGCAATTACTTTGCTGATAATGGCGTCGCAGTGTCACCTTTTTGTTGTACTGCCATCATTATCGTCGTCCCCGTGCACCCCCACGAAGTCTGCGTGCACTGACCCCGCGGGCCCAGTTAGCGTAGACGCCATCTTAGAAAAACACATTTACATTGTTTGCTGTTTGTTTTTGTGGTTGTTGTTGTTATGGCGGTGGTGAGGAAGATGGTTGTTAGTTGGGGTAGCTTAGGGGTTAGTATGGGACGGAAGAGATAATGAATAAAAACAAGGAAAATGAAAGTCGATGAAAGGGAAGAGAGAGAGAGATGTGCAGAAATGAAACAAAAGCAATTGAAGAAGAAGAAGAAGAAGAAGAAGAAAAAGAAGACGAACAAGAAGAAGAACAACAACAATAACAGCAACAAGAAAGAGGGGGAAGTAGCAGAGAAGAAGGAGGAGGACGAAGTAGAAGAAAGGAAAGAGACGGCAAAGAAGAAGAAGAGCAAGAAAGATGAAGAAGAGGTAGAGAAGAAGGAGGAGGAAGTAGAAAAGGAACGGAAGAGAAGACGAAAAAAAGAAGCGGAGGAGGAGGAGGAAGTAGAAAAAGAACGGAAGAGAAGACGAAAAAAAGAAGCAGAGGAGGAGGAGGAAGTAGAAAAGGGAAAGAAGACAGGAAGAGAAGGCAAAGGAGAAGAAAAAGAAACTAGAGAACTAAATGATGATGATCATGATGATGATGATTGTAAATTGAAAAATAGAAAAAACATAAGAAGGAAAAGATAACTCGAGAAGAAAAAGAAGAAAAGTAGTAGTAATAGTAGTAGTAGTAATAGCAATGGTAAATGAAGAAAAAGAAGAAACTTAAGAGGATGATGATGATGAATCGCGAAGAAAAACCATGAGATAAAAAGGATAAGTCAAGAAGAAAAATTATTATTAGTAGTAATAGTAGTCGAAGAAGAATGAACTTGAGATGATGATGATGATGATGATGAGGATTCAAGAAGAAGAAGAAGAAAAAGAAGAAGAAGAAGCATAAGAAAACGGGAAATTAAAAGAAAACGAAAGCTGACAAGGAAAATAAAGAAAAAAGAAAAGAAAAAATGAGGAAAAAGGAAGAACAATAAAACAACGGAAGAAATGAAAAAGAACCATAAAAGAAAAAAGAAGAAAGAAAACAGGGAAATGAAAAAGTAAAAAGAAAAGAAAAAAGAAGAGGTAAAAAAAAGTACGTAAAAGAGGAAAGGAAAAATAAAGAAGAGGTGCAATATGGAAAAAAAAAAAGAAAAAAAAGAAAAGACTAAAAGAAAAAATCAAGAAAGAGAAAAGGGAAAAGAAGAAGCAGACAGGAAAGAAAGAGAAAAAGTAAGGAAGAGGCGAACATGAAAGAAGCAAGAAAGAAAGGCAGAAAAGAAGCAAGACTGAAAGAAAAAGGAAAATAAAGAAAACAAACAAGAACGAAATAGAAAAGGAAAAAGCGAAACAAGAAAAAGTAAAGAAACAAGAAAGAAAAAAGGAAAGAAATAGCGAGAAAGGAAAAAAGAAAGAAAAAAGCAAGAAAGAAAGAAAGCAAAAAAAGCAAGAAAGAAAGAAAGAAAGAAAGCCAAAAATCAAGAAAGAAAGAAAGAAAGAAAGAAAGAAAGAAAGAAAGCAAAAAAAAAAAAAAGAAAAAAGAAAAAAACTTCTTTTTAAAGAAAAAAAAAAAGAAAGCAAAAAGCAAAAAAAAGATGAAAGAAAGAAAGAAAGTGAAAAAAAAAACACCAAGAATTTAGCAACAGAATAAAATAAAATAAAGTAAATTACAAATAAACTTAATAATTGATGTAAATCGCTTAAATCTGCTTATTTTCAAAAGCTATTTGCGACTTAATTATTTTCATTTAGAAAAAAAATGTTATTAGCCAGAACTGTTACATTTTAGAAATATCTTATTTATTTATTTATTGATTAGTTTTCTTTTTGCGTGGGTGTTTACTTCTTTTTTTCTTTTTCGATCTAAACTTGTACAGTTTCGCTTTCACCAGTGAGTAAATTGCTATCATTCTACAATTTTCAAGTCTAATACATCATAATTTCTTTTTCCCCTCCTATTTTCACTACTGTCTTGGAAAACAAAAAATCGAGTATTGATGCCATATCTGAACTGAAGCTGCCCAACCATGACTTGCCTATCTTAATACAATTTAAAATCGTACACGCCGCCTTCTGGGTGATGAATAATTTCACACCTTACAACCCCTGTCCCACAGACTAAACGTCACAAGCTTTTCGTCCCCACTTTGCTATTTCCATGATATGATTTCTGTTAAGCTACATTTCTTGGTTTCAACACACCTGACCTTTGCAGTCACGGACACAGGGGTGATGAATCATCTTCATTCTAGTCGTATTCCATTAGTAAAGAGGAAGCTCTATTCGGACAGCTTCTTCACAAGAACTGCTGCTTTGTTGAACAGACGCTCGCTGGGATGTTTTCTCTATCAATACAATCTTGACCTCTTTATGTCTAGGGATAGCTTTCATCTTTCCTACATAACCTAATGAACTGCACTTCTGGCTTTTCTTATGCTCATACACTACCACACACAGTGACATTCTACATTCCCTTCTGTCATAGTGAAGTCAATGCTTACTAAATTCTAACCCATAAGGCCTTGGTCTAAACTAGCTATACTTAGCAAACATCGATAATACCGACAACGGTAATGGGCATTTATCGCAAACCTTTAATACTGAAATATGTTCGATCCTTATTGGGTGCTCCAAACTAGTGGCCTTGTGCCCTACTAACATTAGGAAATACATATAACTTTATAGATTCTTTACATATCTATTTGGAATAATCGTAAGCAAACTCATCTCGCAGATCATTACTATTGTGATTTTTGTAAATGATTTCGATCCTCATTGGGGACTTTCTTTCATATTTCGAGAGATAACATGACTTTTTCTTACCCAATTCCGTTTTCGAACTGACTTCACTGGCAGTATTTACTACTCTTAGTATACTCAAACACAAGGCGTTCATCAGGCAGTAATCTCCTTGGGTTATCATCATCATCATCATTATTATCATTATCATCAACATCAATCCAATATAGTCCTGGGTGTGACGATAAACTACATCCGGCAGCAAGGCCTCTGATCGGCGATTTTCTTACATTATCTAGTGTCTGAAGTTGCCCAATCATCACTTGCCTGTCTTAATAGAATTTAAAATCGTCTACGCCGCCTTGTGGGTAAGGAATCAATCCCCACCATACAATCCCTTTTATTAGACGATACGTCACATGACCCTCGTTACTCTATTACCCTATGGCATGATTTCTGATAAGCTACTGACAAGATGACATTAATTTGAATCAAGTCAGTGGGTTAATATTTATCTATCCTCCGTATCCTTATGATGTTCACTTCCCATCAAACGTTTTTTTTATTCATATCACGCACATCATTCATCCACTCCAGTAAGTACCTGACTCCTTCCGCTATCCTCTATCAGATCAGGCCGAACATGGAGTTCTGTTGCCATATATGAGCAGGAACTGCCCAGTCTTCACTTTCCAGTCTCGGTAGAGTACAAAAGCGTTTCCGCGTCCTTGTGTGTGATGAATTAATTTCCACCCTATAACCTTTTTCCCGTAAATGAAACGTAACAAGCCTCTTGCTACTTTACCGCTATTTCCATAGAAAGTGTTCAGACAAACTACATTCCTTAGTTACACCAATTCTAGCCTTCGCGGCAAAAAAACCCTCTTATGCCAGGCAAATTGTAGCGAATCACTCTCATTTCCTTCGTATTTCATTTGTATGTTTCAATCGAACATCGTCTACCCAAGTACCGCTACTTTGTGGAACCGATTCCTAAAAGGATGTTTCACCTATCTCAACAATCTTAACCTGTTCAAGTCTAGAGTTTAGCTGTTCTCTTCCCCAACATATACCCATAAACTGAGCCTCGTATTCTGTAACCCTCTACCTCGAGTGGCTCTTTGGTTTTCTACAGGCTGAACATTATGCTGAACATTTTAACAGTGTCTCTCTAGCTAGAGTGACTCTCGAGCCTTGTATCGGGTGGCTATTAGTGCAAAGGTCTCGAGGGCCGACGAATCTCTCCTTACAACTATTAATCGTCGGGAAATGGCATGGTTGGACCACGTTACGCGACATAAACCGCCTCTGCAAGACCATCGGGCAAGGCACTTTTGAAGGCGGGAGGCAAGCAGGGTCGGCAACGCAAGTGTTGGCCAGACAACCTCAAAGAGCGGACGGATATGACAATGGCCGGAGATCGTGATAGTCACCGCTAGGAGGTAGTCTGTTTCTTTTACCCTTGGGTCCCCGCCTCGCATCGCCCCGCCCGACGATTGAAGCAGTCAATGAACTGATGATGACGACGATGATGATGATGACTGTAAAAAAAAAAAAAGAAAGTATATCCGACGTTGTTTTTAAATATATATATATGTTTCGAATTCTGGTAATGATATTCCCCTCCCACAATGCTTTTCAAAGCGTCAACACATAGTAATCATTCACCTCCTGACCGGCTTTTCGGTTGGACTCTCTGCCTTCCGGCGGGGAGTAACTCGAAGGATACTACGCCGAAGGGCGGAGTCTCTTTCAAGGAGGCAAACCGGCCCTGAACCCGTTTATACGGGTTCAATGGGCATATTTTGATGCCGAGCCCACGGGCTCGGAGATCCCACATTAACTAACCGGCCTTGTGCCACATGATGCTCCAGTTGGGGGGGGATGAACATCGTCAACAGATAGTAATCCCCTTGGGCTATCATCATCAGCATTATCATCAGTATCGTCAACATAAATCCAATATAGTCCTGGGTATGACGACAAACTACATCCGGCAGCAAGGCCTCTGATCGGGTGACTGAATGCTTTGAGGAACGTGGAATCACCTCTTAATTGGTACTGTTCCCAGGTAGCACCTGTTACGTGTCCAGCTCCGGGCAAATAATAAACCCTCAAGCAAAACACTATGAAAGTATAAAATATATATTTTTATGATAAAAATACCAGCAATACATTCTTATATACTAGGACTGAACTCACAACCGTTTCAGATACCCGATATGTATTAGATATTTACTCACCCCCCCCCACGAGGTCAGGTTGTGACACAAGGTCGGTTTAATGTGTGGAGGCCGAGCGCGTGCACCCGGGCAATGAAACAAAAATTCTCGAAAGCCCCCAACAACCGTCAGTTGCGCTGGCCTGAGGTGCGAGTTCAAGGTGCGAGCACCGATCCCTTTATTCTGGTGCAATAGAATTTCAGGCCTCATGCAGCTGTTCCCCAGGAAACCCGATATGTATTAACCAACAAGTCTGCGTGTGTCTTGGATTAACAATTGACTAAATTTTGGAGTCTTGAACATAATATCATTCGTCGGCCTGTATAAGTGTCTTGAGCTGGGTGAGCGTTCTTTCATTCTTGGTCGGAGGCTCCCAGACTTTATTCATCCCTATGCAAGGCTTACAAGAAGTTTACTGAGTGCGAAGAGAAACTACCAAAGAAGGCCGAAGAATACAACGGCCGAAACATTGTGTTTATAACAACCGACCAAGATGAACATATTGGTACGAACTGCAATATATGTGTCAATAAGAATACCTTATCTAAAAACTTCCGGCAAAACATGGTCTCTTAATCAATACACACACACACACACACACACACACACACACACATTCTCTCTCTCTCTCTCTCTCTCTCTATATATATATATATATATATATATATATATATATATATACAGGAGTGTCCATAAAGTTCGTGTTTTATTTACTTTAATTGTATTTGCGATAGAAATAATCTGTAAAAAATGTTATAAAGTTTAACGTACCTAGTTTTAAGTATAGTTAAAATAACTAATGTGATTTCAGACATTCCTGTAAATCAGTTGGCAAATATCTTCCGTGAACTGCAAAATCGTATTACCCTTTGTATTGCTAATGATGGAGAACATGTCGAAACTTAAATAAAATTTCAATAAAACCTTTAAAAAATATAGATTTACTTCTTTTTAATCCTTTTTACAAATTATTTCTATCGCAAATACAAATAAAGTTATAAATTTTTAAAGTGCACACGAACTTTATGGACACCTGTATATTGGTAAATATATATATGTGTGTGTGTGTGTGTGTATTGATAACAATATATATACAATACCAACAATACATATTTATAGTAAAGTCACTAACAATAGATATTTATTTTAGAATTATCAGCAATAAATTTCATAGCAAAATGACGAACAATACATTTATCTGTAGTTGAAGGCATACAATTGCGTTCAAAATATATTTAGTTGAAGCCACAAAATTGTGTTCATAATATTTATAATTGGGCATTAAATAACCCATAGAGGTGTTGATATACCGCTAAACAAAATCAATTGACCAAACAACCAACATGAAAGAAACATTCATGAAATTAATCCATATGATATCTTACAATTTCTTAAAAAAATCAAACTGTATTCCAAAATATAACTTCAACAAAAATTCATTTTCACTATAAAACCATTTTAAATCATCGGATGAGATAATCATGTATATTTGTTCACATATATGTATATGCACAAAAGATGAGTATCATCTACCATGTATTCATAATGTGAAAGCAGAATAAATTTTTTTTTTTTCATTAATTTAAAAATTCCCAAGAAAATTAAATTTCGGCATTAAATGACCCATGATTCGTAAAAGAGCTGTTAAACGAACAAACCAAATCATCAATCAACTGTTTAACTACAATAGTGGTCATAGGTGTGGCATATGTGGCTGAAACTGGTTTGGCGACTTATGTTTGAATATGATTTGAATAAAATTTCTTTTTATTTTTATACGATTTTCTGGTGTCAGCCATAAATACAGACTGACGTAGGTACAGGACGACGCCTATTGAACTTTCAATTATTGCCTACGCCTATATATCAATATGGTTACCTGCTAGATTTAGTACCCGGTTACAGTAATCAACACCCAATATTGAAAATTCGAACAAATATATCCCTTT